GATCTTGGGTAAATTTCATTTCAACAAATTAATAAGACAACTGGCGGATAATGGATTTTATTGAATTTTTAGTTATTGAACTCTGTAATTAATTTTATTTTGATGCCCCTTAAATCTCATCTCATCCCATATAACCCCCTAACCCTCTGCTCCGAAGCCGTTGAAACAGTTCGTTTCCTGTACGTCTTTGAGCATACTTAATTGGCTTAGGTGAGTTTCGTTTTATTTTTGTAAGATAGTCTGCATGAGGACGAGATTTAAAAGTTGAAATTCAGCTAAAGTCATTGAGACAAAATTCTCCATTAAACAGATGTCTCATCGGGTATCAGACGTAAGCGATCAGACCATCGAGAATCCAATTAAAGAGTTTTGTTAGTTAACGATTGTTATGAACTTCTCGAAATGGACTTAAAACCATGTGAGAAGTAGTCTCGCAGAACGCAATTTCACATATTCAAATTAAGATGGCTTAATAAGGAATTATGAAATTGAAGCCAACTCCAAAAGCTCTGTAACTAAGATGCAATCTTTGATACAAGACAAGGTTTTTTTAATTATATAGGGCAAAAAAATATTTAAAATATAGTGTACGTATATTTGTAAACCAGCTCAGCAAACGTTATACCAGTCATCCTTAAGAATAATGCTAAAATACCCACTAGCTTGCAAAAGGCCGTGGTAGCCGAGTTATTAGCATTGCATACTGCCATTCAGAAGACTCGGATTCAAATCCTGCAGTGCAATTCTGTAACTTTTATCGACACGATTTGTCGAATCGCAAAGTTGCGAATTTTGTCGCTTGCGCTAACGATTATGCGATTCTCTGACGCAGTTGTTACGAAAATCGACATCGCACATTTCCATTTTATTAAAATGTAGGAAAGGTGGCACCACAGCTCAACGAAACGTCAAAATGTACGAAAAGCACAAAGAGGAATGACAAAAACAAATAAATTTGTTATTGAAATTATTTTAATTAAAAGAATAGCAATGCATTACAAAGTTTTTCAATAGCATGTTATGGTTTGCACTTTCATGCATGACTCTTCGCTCTATAGGGGAGCTCCAAATAAAATAATTGTGCCGCGCTCTTGGGTACTTGGCATTTGCCAGTATAATCTTGCGATAAGGACCATATATCTATGTGAAAATATAATTAACTTTGTTACTACAATAGTAATCGGAAACAAATTTACTCTCACCATTTGCACATTGATGGAGTGGTATCCATGGTGGTTTATATACGCTTCTTCATGGTTTTTAACTCATGTGCAATCGATAGCTCCAATAGTGCCTCCAACATATGGTGACGATGACGAAGCAAAAATTTGGAAAACTAACAGAAAACCTTGAACGGTTGATTGCGTCTGTTACGCGATGAACACAACGGTTTACTGACGACTGACTCATGGACATGCCCATTGCAAAAAATCGCGAGGCGGGTAGAACCTTTAAACATTATAATAGTGTTAAGACTAAAAAAAATATTGAAAATATATATTATTACCTGTTTCTCCGTAGACAATGCTGTTATTCTTCTTCCTTTTAGTTGGCAATCTAGTTCAGAAACGATTTCTTCAACTAAATCCGGCGAAACTCGGTAGCATCCAAATGAAAAGGATCTTCCGCTTCTCGACGCAAACTTCTATTCAATGATGAAGATTAGGATACCTCGTCATATTGTGATAAAACGTATGCCAAATATTCAAAACCATTTCTTTTATTTTTTTATTTTTATTTTTGTATAACTTTGACAATTTCCCGGACACTTTACTCTCTTAAATGAAATAACAAAATTTTGTCGATATCGCTAACAACTTAAAAATATTCGTCGCTTAGTTAGCGATTTTTCGAGTAGTTTACGACAATAGCGAGAGCGAATATCGTTATAACAAGTACACCGAATATTAAAATCGTTAGAATTATCGCAAAGTCTTCTTTGCGATCCGAAAATCGTTATACTAGTCTTAGAGACTAGCGAATATCGTTAAAAATATCGTTAAGTCTTCTTTGCGATCCGAAAATCGTTATACCATTTTAGAGAATAGCGATTATCGTTAAAAATATCGCTAAGTCTAATTTGCGATCCGAAAATCGTTATACTGTGCTTAGAGAATAGCAAAATCGTTAAAATTATCGTTAAGTCATTATAACGATCCGAAAATCGTTATAATACGATAGAGAATTGCCCTGCTGGCGTCTTACTAACATCCGAATGTCAACCCCTCCGGATTTATTTCTGACATTAAACAAAGCTGCTCATTAAAATCCCATCAGCCGTTCGGAGGCGGCTTAGTACAAACTGTAGGTGCCCCCATTTTTTAGAAAATCTTCAAGACGCAAAACCGTTGAGTTCGAAGTTAGAACAGAAGATGAAAAACAGTCAATATCATGTGTTCCACGATCCCTTTACATTTCCATTTTTTGGAAAAACATCAACACGCAAAACCATAGATTGGAGGAAGAGCTCGGCGCAAAATCGCTTTAACAAATATAATAACAATGATTGCTTGTGATCCCACGTCAGTTATTTTAAACAACGAATTAGTCCATTAATCAGTAAATATTTAACATTAAGTCCACAAATCAAAAGAAGAATGTTCATTATATGTCAGCTTGGCTGAAGAAGTGTGAATATTTTATTATAATCCTTGTAAGCCTCTAAAATTAAGTTAATGCAAATGTAGGAAGACACTTCCACAGCCACAAATTTTAAAAGCTCAGAACGCCTGAAAGCAACCATACTTTCGACATTGATTAGGCGCCCTAGACTCTTATGACCAGCAGTTCTCATCGAAAATGTCCGGATTTGTGCTAAATGGATACGGCCTTTCAAAACGACAGAGAGCATACTACCTAACGCAAAAAGTTTAAAAATGAGAAATTGAAGACTTTACTGGATCAAAATCTATTCCAAACGCAAACTGAACTCACAAAATTATTGGAACTGACTCAGCAACCAATTTCTGTTCTATGAAAGCGATTCCGATTTGGATTGGACTACAACTATTAAGTTTGAGCCGTGGATTCCAAGAAAATCAGTTAGAAATGGCAGGGCATAACAAGGTGATCTTGCAACATGACAAGGCCACGCTTGGCTGTAATGATCAAAAACTAACTAGAAAAGCTGAAATGGGAGTTTTTACCTCAACGACCGTATTTTCTTGTTTCTGGTCCCTTCCGACGACAAGCTATTTCGACGGATGCAAAACAATTTGGGAGATCACCGGTTCAAGTCTTTTGAAAAAATCGAAGATTGGATGGGAGAAAGAGAGGACTGAGTTTCAGGTGTTGGTAATCGAAAATTAACAGAGAAAAGAGAAAAAGTAGTCGTTTCCAACGGATAATAATTTTAATGATGTATATTTACTGTTTTTATCAATAAAAAAATGTTTTAAAAGACAAAATTAAAAAACAGACCGAATAAATTTGGATGTTCCAAAATTATGTCTACAAATGTCCGAATAAAATGTTTACCCTTCTTCTTTATTGGCGTTGGAACTGCTTACGCGATTACAGCCGAATCAATATTAGCGCGCCCTTCATCCCTTATTTTCGTTGGAAATACCAAGTAAAGCCAGGTCACTCTCTACCTGATCCTTCCAATGCAGTGGAGGTCTACTTCTTTCTCTTTTTCCTCGAGCGTCTATTGCTTGTAATACTTTCAAAGCTGAAGTGTTTTCATTCATTTGGACGACATGACCTAGCAAGCGTAACCGCTGTCTATTCATTCGCTGAATTATATCAATATCATCGTTCTATGGTTTGCGGTATTCGCCGTTGCCAATGCGTAAACTTTTCTCTCGAAGATTCCAAGGCACGACACATCAGATGTTGACAACGTCCACGCTTCTACACCATATAGTAGGACCGGTATGAAGCGCTCTACAGGCGGTTTTGGTTTTTGTTCGTCGAGAGAGGACTTTCGTCTTGCCATCAGTAACTACCAGACGCATTTGCTTCGCTTCCCTATCAAGTCTAGAGAAAGCAGAACTCACGGTGCGTTTGTAATGTCGACCTCATGCTGGGTTGCTGATGAGTGCTACCAGAGAGCAAGTTGCGCAAGTCGAGTAGAAAATCGTTTGGCGGTCCTTCCTTGTGTTTTTTGACGGCCTTACTTCGACCACGACAAGCTAGTGATCCTACTCGATGTTAGGACCTACGAACGTGCAGGCATCTAAAACGCTAGATACATATCTTCCGTCTATAACGACATGATCGATCTGGATGAGAGTTTTTCGATCAGAAGACAGAGAAGTAACTTGGTGAATATTCTTGCGCTGGAATCTAATACTAGTCGATCAGACTCAACCCATCTTTGTCCACTTGTTGAAGTCGCCAAGCACAATTTTAATGTCGTGACGGGGGCAGCGCTCATAAGTGTACCCGAAGCACTCGTAAAAGACTGCCTTGATTACATCTCAAAATAATCGGAATAAAATATTTGCATTGCAATAACGCCTGGAAATACTGGTCTGGTGTTATAACTTTCCATCACACAAACGCATATACATTTGTATATGTATAACATTTTCGGGTTCGTTAAATTGATTGAATGTGAAACTAATATCCATTTGAGAAACACTTGTCGGCCTACGTTCCATTGTTTAAAAAGCCCAAAATTCTTGCCCATCCGTTCCCAAATAAAAAGCCTTTACACACATACATACACATACATACATTTGTTTATTTACCCCAGCAGCATATTTGTATACAAACTTACGAACACATTTCATATCTCTGTCACTGTCAAATTATCAATCATTTCAATCCGAATCAGTTAAACAGTTTATCGAGATTTTCGGCAGTCAACCGTGGCCTGATTGCAAGAGACGATTTCGTAGACGGATATGAAAAACTGGCATTTGTGTATGAACCTTGAAGCTTTTGCTCATCCGTTGAAATTTTTATAGAGAAATTTTCCACATCACTTGTCAAATTATTTATTAGATTTTTCTCAACTTTTATTAACTGTTGGCATTTCTTTCCATCAATTGCAGGTGACGTGGCTCAAAGTTGGCAAGGGTAAATTTTTTGAATTCATAAACGGACGGAATCCACCCTTCCGGAACACATCCATTGAAGGCGGTGAAATTGACGTGAGTAAACATTTCCTTTTAAATTTCCATTGAATTCGTTATTTTGTATAAGTATGCGCATTTATTTATGTATTTGAGAGTCTACTTGTCATATATTTGAATTGCGCGCTTTATATAAAAGTACCTTTCAAAAATGTATAATTATACTGTAATATCTAAGAGCCTATTTATATCAACACCAACACAATTAAACATAATAAAACACTGTTTAACATTCAATGTCAGTGATTAATTTTGGAGGTTTGCCTAATTGCTTGCAGAATTTCTGCGTACTGCTTTAGTAATTGCTATTTTACCTGTCCTTTGTTATAATATTTGTACGCTGAAACGAGGCATTTCATATGGAAATAGGCAAACATTTGCATTAGATTGAGGGAGAGAGTGAGATAGCCGGTGAAACAGAATGAAAACAATTCATTTCCTTCACAACTGAAAAAAGTATCAAAACTGCTTTCCTGTTTGATCTGCCTTGAAATTTATTCGTTTGAAAAAGTAATTACTCGTACAAACCGACTTCAATTACCTTGAAACAAATTATTAGTAATTTGAAATAAATTTTTGTTATTAAATTGAAACTTGGAATTCAAGCCGGCAATGAGGTTAATAAAAGCACAATAGTGTCGGTATGATATTAGATCAAGTAAAATGTAATATTATTTTTGCAATGGTTAGTTTTAGTGATCTGTATCTCGCGTTCTATACGTGTGATGGGATGGCGTTATAAAGGGTAATTTTTTTTAGCTATTATCATTTAAATTGCAAATACCAATTACAGCCAGGTCCTTCTCTACCTGGTCTTTCCAACCGAGTGGAAGTCTTTCTCTTCGTCTGCTTTCACCGGCGGGTACTGCATCGAAAACTTTCAAATCTGGAATATTCGTATCCATCCGGACCACATGACCTAGCCAGCTCTGCCGCTGTCTTTTCATTCACTGAACTATGTCAATCTCGCCGTATGACTCGAACAGCTCGTCGCTCCATCGTCTGCGATATTCGCCGTTGCCAAAGCGCAAAGACCTTAAATCTTACGCAAAACCTTACTCTCGAAAACTCCTAACGCCAACTTATCAGATGTTGTCATCGTCTATGCTTCCGCACCATATAACAGGACAAGAACGATGAGGGACTTGTAGAGTTTTGTATTCGTTCGTCGGGAGAGGACTTTACTTTTCAATTGCCTACACAGTCCAAAGTAGCACCTGTTGGCAAGTGTAATTCTACGTTGGATTTCCAAGCTGACATTGTTGTTGGTGTTAATTCTGGTTCCTAAATAGACGAACTTATCTACGACTTCCAAGTTATGACTGTCAACAGTGACACGGCAGCCGAGTCGGGAATGTCAATATCATCGGCGTACGCCAGTAGTTGTACATTCTTATATAAGGGTGTGTCCTCTCTTTTCAGCTCTGCAATTCTTATTATTGTCTCCAGCCTTAAGAAATCACACGACAAAGAGTCACCCTGTCTGAAACCTCGTTTGTTACCGAATGGCTCGATGAGATCTCTCCCAATTCTGACTGCACTTGTGGCTTTGTTTAGCGTCCGCTTACACAGCCGTATAAATTTTGCGGGAATACCAAATTCAGACATAGCGGCGTAGAGCCAGCCCCTATTCCGGCTGTCGAAGGCAGTAGTGTTAGGTGTCGATCCTCTTTTCACGGGTCTTTTCCAAGATTTTCTGGTTATCCCTGATATTTATATGGAGCATATTTAGCTCGTTGCCTATATTTGGCTCGTAGCCCCGTTCCCTTCTTCTAGGTGAATATATGTAAGACGTCTTTTTCGTACTATTTTACATACTAGATTATAAAGTTATAATAAAATAAGTAATGTAAAAACCAAATAAAAATCTTATTGGAACCATTTTATAATTTCATGCAGACGAAGTCGCAGACAAACTCTAGTATTAAGACAATTGTTTATAGTATGATTTTTTACACAGCTGCAGCCTTTGACTGAAAAATCTGAATTGAATGCTGAGCGCAAGGGCGGGATCGCAAGCGTCCAATTTTGTTTATTTAGCCTATACCGTTAAGGTTATACTTTTTCCAGCGCTAAAATCGTTACGGGAAGGAAGAAATTCTACTAGACAACGTGAAACTTTTTAAAAATGGGTGATATATAGGATATTTTCTGTGATATTAAATTTGCCCAAATAACGGTTGCATGTACCAGATTAAAATAGGGAATGTGTGCAGAAATATATAGATAATAAGCTTGATCCCTATATTAAGGGGTAAAAGCTTTAGTAACTTCCCCTTCTTTTCGAATTCGTCTTGATTATAATTGAAGATTTTATGGAATTTCTTTTAAAATATATACAACAACAAAACAAAGTCAAAAAGTACACGTTTACATCTATATATAAGCCTGATTTTATAACGTCTTTATGTAAGTCTCTCAGGCCATTTAACTTTTTTAAATAAGCCACATTATCAAAATTAAAATTAAACGGTATAAATATTTTATTTAAATTTACAATTTAAAGTATATACACATGCATATATACATATTTATAACGCCGCTGTACACAATATAATATAATATATGCACATTATGCATACATATATTTATATTATGTATTTATTCTCATACATACCAACATACACATATATGCATAGATATACAAATATTTGTTACGCCCCATAGACTGCTTAATTTATGTCATTTAATTTGAATATTTAACAGTGGGAAAATTCCAACGAGACACAGGTGACGCTGAAAAATGTTGACTTTGATTTGTCTGGACAATTTTTCTGTGAGGTTTCAACGGACTCACCTATTTATACAGAACCTTCACAAGATGAATTGCTATCTGTATTTTGTAAGTTAAATTATTGCATATAATCAAATGACATACACTATATACATATATATTTACGAGTATTATATACATACATTGGTGTAGCATAAAGGTCAATTCATAAAGGACAATTCAATTTTATGCAAAAATCATGGATTTCTTTTTACTACACCTAATATATATCTATAAACTCGCACATAAATTAGCATTTCTTTTTTATTACTCTAATGAAATGTAAAATTTTAGTACCTCAAACTGGACCACCCATAATAAAATTCCGGAAGCGCATGCCATTTGTCATTGGTGAGAGATTATTTGCTTTGTGCAATACGACACGCGCGTTTCCAGCGCCACACATCACGTGGCTAATCAATGGCAAGAAGGTAAGTTTGCTAAGATGTCCGTGTGTAGGTGGGACATTTGTTGTCAGCCCGTAGATGGGAGCATTCACTGTTTGTTTTTTATTTAAATATTAAAAAGTGCCTTCAAAGTATTTTAACAAATCAGAATTTAGTTGAAATTTCGCTCATAAAGCTGTGGTGAAGCCTTAATTTAAATACTTAGGTTTATTCACCGTTATTATAATGATTAGTTGAAGATGATACAAAATTTCCTTGCTTTCTTACTGTTACTGTTTCAACGGTGATTAAGTGTAATGGGAGTATTAATGTACATAAATGTGTATTGCAGCAATAAACGTTGCTCGAATTATTAAAATTAATTTAATAAAAAATCATTTAGGTAGTAATTTAATGTTTGTTCTATCTAAAAAATCTTAATTATATTTTACTAAGGAAAATTTTTGAATATTGAACCCAAATTACGCTTCAAATACTCACATACAGGTTGAGGATAAATTTGTGCGGACGCATCATGCTTATTCTATGACCAATAAGAGTCATCGGCGTGCACAACAACAACATCAGCAACAACAACAATTAATGCAACAAAAATACTATCAACAACAATATTACAATCAATATCAGCAGCAATATCAGGTTCCGCTTTTAATTGATCGATATGACAAAAGTTTACGTTGGAGCGGTGGACGACCAGGTGAGTTTGAGTATATATACACACACGTGTATGTATGTATGTACTAAATTATTGTCACGGTAAAATAGTTCAACTTTAACATGTTTTTTGACCATTTATTAAAATATTTTTAATTCCGAAAAAAAAAAAAATATTTTCACCTCAATTCATTTCAATTGAGCTGGAATTCATTGATGGCATTTTGGAATTATGTACAAAAAATACGATATGGAAATTCTTAAGAGGAATGCCAAAAAGAGTGCCGAAAAACTTGAATTGCCAAAGTGACTTACGTTTCAGCACGACAATGATCCGAAGCATATCGCTCATGAGGTGCGTATGTGGCTTGGACACCACAATAAACATAAACATACACTGCCGCATCCACCCCAAACGCTTGATCTGAATCCAATTGAACAGTTGTGGGAAGAGCTGGTTAGGCGCGTTAAAAAGCGCGCTGTATCAACGAAAGCAGAGTTGAACCTGGCACTGGTGGAGGAAGGGTGGCAAAAACCATACAAAAATTGGATTCATCAATGCAAAAGCGTTTGGAAGATGTCATCAAACATAAAGAGTTGGCTACAAAAGATTAATTTCGTTAATTATAAAATGAATAAAAATTGTGTCCCTCTCTATGGCATATTTTTTTTGGAATTAAACAGTTTTTTCATAAGTGGCCAAAAAAGCTGTTAAAGTTGAACCATCTTGCTGGGCCAATACTTTAGTTCATCACCGTATATCTGTAATACTGCGACAGGAAAGGAACAAGATTATTTAATCTTTTTTTTTATCAGGAGTATAAGCGGAGGGTCAAAATACTGTCCGCAGAACACACGACTTGTAATTTTTTACAACAAAATTCTCTTTACATATTGAAAAAAAGATATATATTAGGTCAAGTAAAAAGTTCGTACGGTTTCTATCTAAGAGATGGCGTTATTGTCTATAGTGTTACATGTCGCATCATGTCTTACTCTACGGCGATTCGATTGATTGACTCATTACGTTGTGAGCGGCTCGCCAACGATGGACACCAGCAAAGAGAAAATTCGCTATATTTAACAATTGTTCTTCGATCAAGGCGAACAAGTAGCCAAAGCGGCTGAAAAAATTAATTTAGTTTATGGGTCCGATACTGTAACCGAACGTGTAGCACAAAAGTGGTAATTTCGATGTCAAAGATGCATCAGATTTTCCTATGTGTTTGGTGGGATTGGCAAGGACACATCTACTACGAGCTGCTCCCCTATGGCCAAACGCTCAATACGACTCTCTACTGCCAACAACTGGACCGTTTGAAGGCAGCACTCATCGAGAAGAAGCCTTCAACAGAGGTCCATCAGGACAAAGAGGCCACACACGTCTTTGATGATGCGCCAGAAGCTCCAGGAGCTCGAATGGGAGGTCCTAATGCACCCACCTTGTAGTCCGGACCTGGCACCAAGTGATTATCATCTTTTTCTGTCCATAGCGAACGCGCTTAATGGTGAGAAGTTAGCTTCAAGAGGACCTGTGAAAATTGGCTCTCCGAGTTTTTTTACCAATAGGGGCGCAGCCTAATCGGACAAATGTACACAAAATTACCATATTTTGAGAAATCAATAAAAAAACCCCCGAACGAACCTTTTACTTGACCCAATATATAGAGAAAAGATTTTTGATTTTCATTTAATTTTCAAAAACCCAACGAATCGAAAAAATATATACTGTATATACAATATTTAGAATTCTCTGATTTATGTCAAATATGATCGTTTTACTCGATAAATATTTGCCTTTTTGAATGTAATGTCATTATGCCTTTATCACACAAAACTTTATCCTAATTGGCAAAAATTGAGGAAAATCGATTTTTATATGCTTCTTTGAGGCCAATTTGTAACCTGCCCAATCCTTCGCCATAGACAGAAACAGTTCTAATTACAACCTCTCAGAGCTTCTGGCGAGGCAATATCAATGTGTGTAGTGTGACGTTGTCTTGGACGGTTACTTTCTTCACTGAATCAGTTGTCTTCTTCACAGGTCCGAATTGGAGTTTAAGCGTAGGGGAACAGCTAATAGCGAATGGATTGCCAATGCTACTAAACACACCAAACCATTACCGCTTACATTTCACATTGCTGTAAGTGATCTTCTTTTCATCACTAGTCACCATCCGCTTCAGAAATAAGTCGATTTTGTTACGATTTAGTAGCAATTCGCAGATGAAAATTTAGCCCATAAGGTTTTTTCTTGTTAACTCATGTGGGACCCATAAATCGAGCTTTTTTGTGTATCCAGCCGTTGCCGAGTGGTATCAAACTGTTTTTGGTTCGCATGACGGTCAGGCTCGACCATTTCTAATTAGCCTTTTACCCCGTGGTTCTGTTACGGTATCAGAACCATGAACACTATTCCGATTTTCTGCTGCCTGACTTGTGTTATTCTAAGCCGCCTTTTGAACGGCTGATGGGTTTTCAGGAGGAGCATTTATTGTCCAAGTGCGATCACAATCAAGAAAACTCATTTTTTTACATTATTTATACCAATTGGTTCCAATAAGCAGTTCCCAAAGAGTGAAAAGAGTTAATCCATTGATGTTAAAACAATCAATAGAAGTAAAAACAGGCAATTTACCGTGAAAGTGGCTAAAAGGATGCCAGGAAAATATAAAAAAGTATCTGTAAAAGTGAAGGAATAATAATGCAGTAATAACCCGCATCTGCAAAAAGAATGCTTTAGTGTAATGTAGGCTACATTTCTGTATGTAAGCAAATGGAAAATCCCTGTAGGAATACTATTTCATTCATGTGGTTACAGCAGCTCGCCTTGCACAGTCCATACTGGTCTGTCTTTCGACAAAATGTTTGAAATAAATTTTAGTGTTCCAAGTCATGAATCGCCTCTGGATAATTGGCACCCTACAAAAAATAGTCGAACGGAGTAAAATCGCAGCGGGAGGCGGTCAATTGAGTTGGCCGTTTCGGATAAATATTGTATGTTTTTCGAAAAGAGTGCACAAAAAACGATTGTAATGTTGACTGTTTGGTTGGTATGGTGTGGCTTCCTGTTGAAACCACACATCGCCCCGGTTATTCTCTTCGACATTTGGAAATGATTAATGTGTCGGTATGGCACGGTAACGAATGGCAGTGACAGTAAAAGCAGTAACTTCCTTGTTTTCGAAATATAACAAATAATTGATGCCACCAGCTCACTTGCCGCACCAAACAATCACTCGTTGGGTACGCATTCGCTTTTCCATTATTACGGTTGGGTTTTCGGAGTCCGTGTTTTTTTTTTGTTTAGCTGTAAATGATCGGTTGGCCGCGGTAGCCGAGTGGTTAGCATTGCATACTGTCATTCGGAAGGCTCGGATTCAAATCCGCGTGCTACCAACATCTAAAAAATTATTGAAAATTAATTTAAATACAAAATTAAGTTAAATTTTCTAATTGCGGTCGTCCCTCGTCAGGGAATGCCCACCCCTCCGAGTTTATTTCGGACTTGAAAAAAAAGCTCCACGTATTAAAACCATCAGCCGTTTCGGAGGCGGCTTAGTATAAACTGTAGGTCCCTCCATTTGTTGGAAAAACATCAAGTCGCAAAATCACAAATTGGAGGAGGAGCTCGGCGGAAAATCCCTTCAACGGTTACAAAGTGCCAATTATAGATATGTATATATATATATATATAAATGAGTGGCTGAAGTGAAAGTGAGCTTTTTCGAAAAAGATAGTTTATCAAGATTATCAAGCGATCTTAAGTCCTTTTAGCGAAACGATAGCCTATGAGGCATGCGGCTTAAGTTCTTGGATCGAGATCTGTATGCAAAATCTTAATTTAACTGTCGGGTAGACAACGACGGCAGTTCAAGGACACTTTCCTCTGTGCGCGCTGATCACGTATGCAAATTTTTTCATCTAATAAGCAATCGTTTCGGTGAACTTGCTACACAGTTGATTCACAAACTGCCTTAGAGAGTCTTATTTCACCCGATTTTGCGCGTCATTTTCTAGCGGTTTTAATTGAAAACTTACAATTTTGGAAATAAGTATCAATATGTGCCCGCAAGCCTTTAACTGGGTATTTGTCTTATCGGCAATATCGTTGAAGTTTTCAATGAACAAATAAAACGTGGTCAAAAATGCCATTAAAAATTTAGGTGAAGTTTCTTGGATTTCCTACTGGGTTTGCATATTAACTAAACAACTTTTTCATTGGACTAGCCAAGCACGATATGATACTTGCTAGTTTTTCGTTAACTAATTATATAAACATATATGTACATACTCGTATGTATATATGTATAAATTTTCATTTTCTCCTCTACTTCAATGCAGATGATTTCACTTCGCACAGCGCATACCATCATGATGGACACCACCATTCCATTTATAATAATCCCTTCAGTTCCTTGGCCAATATGCACGAAGTTTATGATAATCATGAGATTCATCAACGTAACTACGACAATAAACAGAGAGAGGCGAAGAAGCGTATGGAAATGAAGAAGCACAGGTGAGTACCGATTGTTGAATCAATGTGTCACTTGGCCTCAATGTTAATGCAATTAATATGTATGCAAACGTAAATGAAAGAAACTGCGATATGATGGTAATTAAAGCTTAAAGGATATATTGTAAATTTCGTGCGCACTAAAATAAATATTCTAATGCAGATATTTATGTATGTCAAAGTAAAATCTTATTTTTTTTACCATATTTTACATAATCACAAAGTTGAGCTGACTTCATCGATTTAGGTGTTAAGCTAGAGTTTAGAAATCATATGCATTCTTTTGTTAATAACAGAAAAACCTTTTAGTTTCATGAAACGTTGGACTAAGGAGCTCAATGACTCTTAACTTCACTTGTTCCATGCATTTCGGAATAAGGCTGAGTTATATGGAGTCGGTACTATCAATTGTACAGTGATAAATTGGAAACTGTTGCTAAATCAATTCCTAAATATTTAAACTGGGATGCAAATAAGAATTCGTCTCCTTACGTAAGTCGTTCATGGTTCATTAATCTTGCTGGGATTTTCATTTTTAACTAGCGAACTTAACTCTACCATTCTTTTAAGGGGTTACATAGGTTTTGAAACTTCAAAAAAATTCATTTCAATTTGATAATTTTTTGTACAAAAGTACAAAGTGTCGGGAATATTTTCACCAAGTTTCAAGTCGATCAAAACGAAACTGTAGAAATTACAGAGTTTTATAATTCGCCGTCTTTGTCATGGCTTGACCGATGGCGAAACTTTAGACGAGTTTTTCTTAAAACTACTTTATCGAAATCGGTAGTCAAAATTTCTCAACGACTATTGAAACGATCGAGCTCAAATAAGCATGTTTTTGTAGTCCTGGAACGAAGGATTTACTTCATCTTTGATTTCAACTCATTTGACTAGCCAATATGTGGCCTAGTTTTTGTAAAAAACGCTACGAAAAATTCAATATTAATTTTTTTAAAATTTGTTCGCTCAGGTACAAGGAAAATTCACCTACTTTAAAAAAATGAATTTTTATTCCAGATAAAAATGGAAAAAAGTTATCATGACTACCGCGAAACACTTTCTTGTTGACGGTCTATTGTACTTCACGACACTCCCCCAACGCCTTAACTTACACTCTTTTTCATTCAAATTTTCATCAAATGTTGTCTGCATATTGCACTTTTATATGTAAACAAAATAAATTGTATACTTTATTTAGCATTTTTTAAAAAAATTAGAGAAAGCAAGCTTTTTTTTGGCCTTCAAGACCAATGCAACCCCTTGAGATGTACTAGGCACTTCAGGCTTTTAGATGGTTGTGCTTCGATTTTGATACTCATTCTGTCAGCAATGGTTTCTCTGTATCATTGTTCTGTAGCAAAATCTCATTACTAAAGCTTTAAATTATTAATTAATTCCCTTCCCCCCTTTCCATGTAATTTATAGCAGCTGATGAGCAAATCTGCAGCTATTTAGCGTATGAGGCAAGTGTAAACGCGACCCTCGCTAACGGTCTCGGGTTCAGAGTAGTCCAGACTGTCACTGGTTCGGTCTGTTGGATTTTTCAATTATCTTTCAAGCGCACATTCCGTCGGGTGGGTTCGGTTCGTCGTTAGACATAAGTTTGTGAACTCACTCCGCAAAATATAATATTTCGAATCCATGTTATATAAAAAAATATTTATTGTTTACCCGAGGAGCGTAGATCCTTGGATAACTTTGGGCGCTGGCTAATTGCTTCCTGTCATGCATATATGCAAGAATGCAATTCTCGAATGAACAGCGAAGTGATAGGGCTTTCATTGTTCATTGTTTGCCTTGGAATTTACCTTCGCAAGGTCCAGCTCAGATATCTAATTATCTGAACTGTTTGCGACTTCCCATCCATGCTACTTGAGTAAGCCATTGGCGTCTGCACAGCGTCAGGTGCCTCCTATGGCAATGGGTAAAGCCCACGTATTTTTGAAACGAACCTAGTGCTCAACTTGAATACATTTCACAATCTCCCCCACCCACTTAGACATTTATATTTAAAAAAAATTGTAATATACTCAAATAGAACATTATCTCTACCAAAATTGCGATCATAAACAGATTAATATAAAAGGTAAATTTAATTTTCTATAATAAAATAATTATTTAAGACTTCTCTCTTGTGCAGTGAAGTGGTATTTGTTCCTTCTACTAATTCTCCGTAGCCGAATTATGTTTCTGACTTTTGATTTATGAACGCGGAAATTAAAAACTTAATTTCTATTCTCAAGCGCAAAGTCAAAATTCCTCTTATACCCTTTTTATAGAGAAGGCGTTTGTAGCTGCTGATGCAGAAAATTACTCATTTCCCTACTGCATGGTAATAGCAACATGCCAACATATGTATACACTGCATTGGGTTTTACCCTTTAACCGTCTGCAGCTATAAACATGTACTTAGATTCACACATTTTTACATACCCGACAGTCAGAAGGGAAACTAAAATTTGCTTTGGAACTAGTACGCTAAGCAGACGCAACTAGTCGACCAACAGTATTTTTACAAAAAAAAAAAGAAAAAATATTTTGTTAATAAAATCATGGTGTAATCATTACTATCATTACTAGATGTGTTCAGTAGACTCACCTCACGTTTCCCGCAGTCTTATTTCGGTATTTTTTTTTTAACTTAGAAAAAGTGAAATTTGGAGTGTCATTTTTACCACCACAATTTTATGACCATACGAATAAATAATATATCGGTTCATCGGTTATGATGTCAGTATGTCGTGAATGACTGACAGCTCCACAAACATAGAAGGCGTGGTCTGAGTATAATGTAGTCATCCAATAAAAAGGATTTTTCCGGGAAGCGAAACTGAGACAGATCTACTTGTTAGCTAGATTTCTTTGATATTTGGATTAAAGTTTAGATGCGTTTTATTAGGTCTGATCGTGTCCGCTGCCATTCTTGAACTAACTCAAATCTTACTGGTTTCAAAGCAGGGACTTCCAATAAAAGGTGTTAATTTCATATTCAAAGAAAATATCATTCTTTGAGATAAATGATCGGATGTTTATTTAAACGTAAAGAGAAAGACATGCCATTTATAATGGAAAACAATATCAGCCAAATGGTCGCCACGGGACCCTCGGCCCAAGCTTACAAGGCCGAAACCTTTTTATTGAAATTTTCCATTACCAAATCGCATTAGCTTCATAAATACCATCTTTGAGGTTTTGAATCGACGTTGGCTTGTTCGCCTAGAGCTTATCTTTCAAGTGGCCTCCAAGGCAGAAGTCGGAAGTTGTTAAAACAGAAGATCTCGGTGGCCAATGGCGATCAACTTTTCGAGAGATAACTCAGTTCGGAGACTTTTACCTTAAAAGATCGATGGTTTCGTCACTTGTGTGGCACGTAGCAAAGTCTTGTTGAGAGTACAAGTAGTCCAGATCAATACCAAGCAATTGCAGTCATAAAATATTATTTACCATCTCTCGATAGCGCAATCTTTTGATGGTAACTATTGTTCCAGCTTCATTTTCGAAAAGGAAAAGTAAGGTCCAATGACCGCGTCGGACCATCAACCACAACAAACAGTTAAACGTTGGGGATGGAGAGGATTTTCGACAATAAATCTTGTGTTTTCCGAGTCTCAAATGCGACAGTTTCGCTTACTGACTCAGTCAATATGATTTTTCAATGCAACTCCGGATCATTTTCATACATTTCAAGAACCTGATCGGCAAAGACACGACAATGTTGACGGTTGGCCGACTTGGTTTAACTTTATAGGCCTTAAGGTCCAAGCCTTTATGCAAGATACGGTGTAGTGACAATCCCAAAGATTGTTGAATAACAGTCAAACCTGTGATTTCTTCAACACTTTGGGCTACAGCAACAATATTCTCAGTTATTCTTTGAACGAAGTGCACGTATTTTATTCTTCACATCACTAACTAGTCCAAAAAGATAGTTCACGACGATCGAAAAATGTTTTAGTTTTACGAGCCGTCTCTGCCAGGTCTCTACCAATTTTAAAGTGAATATTAATGAATTCAATGCATTGTTGAAGCGTGTATCGTTTCATTTTTATTACTGACGTAGTTTTTACTAGTAAAATGTCAAAAAATGTTAGCGGCAAAAGCGACATCTACCGGAATTGCAGGCTATTCAAAATAACACTTCCCATTGGAAAATTTTACATAAACGGCCAAATTTCTTCTTATTTTAGACGAAGCATTGACTAATAGTACAAAGACACTTTTGATTAGCCTAAAGAGAAAGCATAATATCCTTTTGGAATTTAAAAATCAGTTGTAATTCACTAACCTGGAACTGCGTTTTTTTGTATTACAACAAATAACAAAATACTTTTAGTGGCATTTCCCTGGTTTTTCGATTGAAATACATTGTAGTAGGCAACACTGAAAATAAGTTTCCAGATTTTGTTAGGATTACAATAAAAAACTTGGCTACTTTTACAACTTCATCATGAATAAAAGGAAAATCCCATTTTGACATTTTTCCGACCAGTGCAATTACGGTCTATAATTCTTAGTAGTAGCCGGCTAGTTTTCGGGACTAGTTAAAAATTTCACTGCTATACTGGTATAAGAAAGTACATACGCATTTACCATATGTAAGTATGTATTCACGTCAATTTTAATGTGTTGAGCAACAACTTCGCTTGATCGCCACAATATTGAGGTAACTTTGAAAAGTTTTCACCTGGAACAAATGCGCTCTCATGAGTGTATGTGTATGTGTGCGAAAACATGCGCGTACGTTTTTGACGTTGGTAATATGAAAGAAGTGCACACTGCAGCAAAGGACTATGTTGTTAATCAAAATATAATATTATGAGATGAAAAAATTAAATCACAAAATAACAGAAAATGATGTATCGGTTAGGATGTTTTTACCAACTTAGCCAACTTAGCTGCTTGGCATCATTAGTTGCAATAATTAAATTTTTTAATTCTGTGTCGGAACTCTTCAAATTTGTGTACATATATATTTAGAAATGGTGGTACAAAATTAATGA